GCGGCTCCAAGACCCCTCATCCATATGTGGCATTACATTCCTGTGTGCAACGCCTTAGAAAGACTGTCCATACTGCCCCTAGGTTTTGTCGAACTGTTTTTCTGTCATACCTGAACGTACCTATTCTATTATTAATAGACTCTCCCACAAATAAGTAGTAGTAGCGGTCGCCAGTTGAGCTCAGGGGAGTTGAGTGAGTCAGTCGATGTCGGACATTGAAGTATCAACGGTCACAACTAGATTGCTGCGTCATTAACTCTTATTTCAAGTTCCTAACGTTTTGTACGTCGGACCTAATTTAAGCCTCCACTGTGAAAACTACTCTACAACACATTGGCGACCGAGGATTCGAAACTCATACGGAGAAAAAAAAATTTTCGTATTTGACTGACCGAAATACTACAACATATGAAGGGTAACGACTCAAGACAGACACGACAAGATCTATCTACTCCGAACTATTCTTAAAAGAAAAGCAAAAAAAGAAATAATGATCAACAAAATCGTCAATAATATGATTCAATAGACAAATAAACATTGAACATTTCTCTCATGACAATTCTTTCATATTTTTCTTTCCTTTCTTCTATTTGTTTATCGCTTTCTTCTTCTTCTTCTTCTTCTTACACTCTGTATCTGTTAGATTAAATTAAATATAACTTTACATCTTGTGTTTGTTTTCTAAACTTTGTCTGTGTGTTGGTCCCTAACTGAGTAGAAAATCTCATTTTTTTTCCTTTTAAGTGAATCGCGTTCACAGCCAAATGTTTGATTTTTGTCGAAAGATAAAACTCGTAACACTCTTGAAGGGCACTGAGTGCAAAATATATTCTGGTAGAATCTTGGCTGAGACACACATTCTATCTATCTATCTATCTATCTATCTATGAGTTTATGTCTCAGGTCAACCCTCCATCTTGTTTCTCTGAAGGACAATGACCTGCGGCTAGACGCATACTATATAAATTTAGCACAACGTCATAAGTTGGGCGAACCTTTTATGCGCCATATTTTCAGGATATAGGCGATCATACAATACACTACCCACATATATAAATTTCTGCACATTTTTGATTTTGACGTTCCCAATATGTAACTCGCGTTAGTGATACAACTCTTACTAATTAACCCATATCTGGGGAGGGAGAAAAGAGGTAAATTCATACCTTTCTCAAGTCAGTGAATATAACGCGTCCAACGGAGATTGCAAATCGGCTCTTCGATCAAGAATTCCGAACCATACAGCACCTGGTATTCCCAATCAGTCACTCATTTAAGTATTGACCACGCTCGATGTTGTTTAACTTTGGTGATCGTACGTTGTTTCAACGAAATATGGCCGTAAGCCTGCGGGTCATTTATTACCAATCCAATTATTAAGATTGTCAGACAGAAGACTTCGTCAATGTAGTGAATTTTGTCCTCTTTAGGTGTTATACTTTTGTGATCATGGTTCTTTTTCTGTGAACATGGCCCCACACATAACCCTAACCATTGTAGTTCTTAATAAGGTTTGTCATTTTACCATCACTTCCAGTCTTATTTCTGCCGTCCATTTACACAAGTTTATTAGTTAGGTCACTATCTGTTTTCTTCTATTCTTCTTGCGTTCAATAGATTCCGTGAGTATCAAATTCTCCAAATCGTCCCTCCTCACTGTGTGTCCTAGAAATTTCTAATTCTAAGTATATGCGTGATTTTTGTTCTCATTTTCCTTAAACCTATTTACTCCTGTCTTGATGGTCTGTCTGTCTGTTCCATAAGGTAAAATTGGCAGCTGATCTAAAAAGTGGCCTACAATCAATTGTTAACAGGGGCAACAAATCGCTTGTTAATTTTAACACCACCAAAAACGGAAGTCTTTTAATCATCTTAGAGAACATTTTTTTTCTAATTTACTTTTTTTGGGCTTCTAGCAGTATGGAAAATTCGAATTTACTATACGAAATCTGTCCGGGACATAGTTAATCATTTTGAATATTCCGAGAGTCGGTTGCGCGGTCACGATGTAAGTTGGTGTTATATAGGAATAAAGTGTCGCTGCCGACACTGAAGTTTGAACGTAGATTGCCAGAGAGCAAAGGCAGGCAATCCCATTTGAAATAAGATCTCGTGAGTTGACATCACAAAACTTGGCAAGGCATTAAAGGGGACCTTACATACGCGAACAGGCATTCTCTCATGGTGCTACCCAATCTGTAATGGGATACCATTCACAAAGACCGAGCAAGATGATTCCTGAGATGTTTTTTGGCAAAATATTAGCCCCCACCATGCGATATGTTAGTCCATCGATAGTCCAAATTTGTTTAATTACAATTTCTTGATTGTTCCGAAGGTAAAATCGTTGTTGAAATATAATGGACGAGATTAAGGAGAAAAGTAACAAGGCAGTCGATCAAGGAAGAAATTTATATTTGGAAAGAAGGAGGTTACGTTGGAAGAAGTGTGTGAAGTGCCAAGTTTAGCATTTGAGGTAAGGCGACATTGCCCAAGGTACGCTCTTTATCCTCATTGATCAGGGATATTATATGTTCAATATATGCGCGAGTGGCGTAACAGTTATCGACAAGAAAAATGGAAGCGGCAAACCAAGTTCAACATCCGACCGAGTTTAATTTGTTCATTTGGAATTATTGCTGTTGTGATAAAATCAACCAGTTTCTTATTCCCCCAGCTATGGATTAAATAGTTTAGACTGGATGCAAAATCATGGAGAACCACTTCACTATCTTCTCAAAGAAGTCTGGGCAATTCAGAGATTATAAACAAAAAGAATCCGTGGAGAGTCCTGATCATCTCTGTCCTTAAAAATCAAACTCCACAATGGATTAAATAACAGGGTTGACTAAAATCTTTAGCCTTGAGTGACAGTCAGGCTAAAGAAAGGATTACTTTGAAATCAACTCGGTGGAGAAAGTGACAGGAAACCACTCTTGTATTCAAATATAATAAAGTAAGGGAATGTGTAGAGAGTCATGACCGACTGTGTCTTGTATGAACATGGCATTTAAAAATCAAATTCACCTTGGCTAGTAACCAGTTTAAGAGAAAGAAATTCTGGATTCTAAACCGCGGAGAAGTCATCAGAAACCCCTCCACTATTTTTCCAATTTTCAAATTCAAAGATAATAAAGAAAAGGAAACTGTGGAGAGCCACGAACCTTTACATTCTGAAGTGTAATCGCATGAACAATATAATACTAGCTTCAAGTATTTTTTGTCTGAATTTCTGTGATGAGGAGTTATTATTTATATTATTTATATGCGGACTATTGTCCTCATCTACGTTATTATCGCAACATATCGGCAGTTGTACCCTCCGACCATTACTAGGTGCATGTCGATCCTGGTAACCTAGAGGGAATTTCGTATCTAATTTACGGGGGAGCGTGTCCTCGATCTCTTGTCTAAGGACGAGGTATTCCTAGACGTGGGAAGTGGAACGAGGACAATCTACTCCCGTAGAGTAAATAAATGGCTTTAGTTGAAAATTCCCTATAGGTTACCTGGATTAACATATGAAGGCCGGAAGACATAACAGTCGAAACGTGGCACCAACAACAAAGATGAAGTTATTAGACCACATGTAAATATTCTCAAGTATTTTAATGCATTAGTTGCACAAGACTTTCTTTCGTTCCTTTTCATTGGCCGGAAAGTTCCCGCCTTGTGCTCTGCTTACATGTTTAAACTTATTGATCGGCAGGCGTTAGGACAGGGAGAAGGAAATGATTTTACTCGAGGCTGGCAACATGGATTTTTATCTGGAAATAACTCCGCCCGAAGAGGAAAAATATTTTTCGCAGATGGCGCGTCACGTTCTTTGAAGCGATGAACCATTAAGCTTAATCAATTTAATCAATGAAACGCGGGCTGAAGTTAACAATACTCACTCACACGAGCGTCCCGACAAGCTTCGATACACTCATATACATGGACAGGTGTGGATATTTTTACAGTTCAACGACGGAAACAAAGGAAAGGAAAGCGACAAACGCACACGTAATTGCGTAAATGGATACCGTTGCATATTTGCACTTAATAGCAGATGTCATATCGAAGTGACTTAGAAATACGAACCGGAAATATTCACAATCTTTTCTCTTTTTCTAGAACTATAATTCATAGAGTTGTAGGTTGTCTGTTAAATCGGGATACGGAGGACTTATTTCTTGTTCGCTATTTTTTCTTTATTTTACCTTGTTCTACGTTATAAATAGAATTGTACTACAAACGCCTTAACCACAAGTAAAAAAGAATATCAAGGACACATGACCACAGTGGATAAAAGGCGTTGGTTAGATCCAATGACAGACCCAAAGAGTGTGAGTTCAATACCTGGTTAAGGCAGTGGAGAACTTTTAGAGGGAAATTAGCAGGAGATAACTGATAACTGACATCCATCAAACATGGCACGTGGAACTAGAACAGTCTACCCCAAGTGACGGAAATAAAGGGTTCAGTTCGAAATTCCAAGCACCTGAAGAAGGCCGGAGCGTACAACGGCCGAAACGTTGTGATAAATATGGCGACAAAGATGAGGACAATAGTCCGAATGATGTAAATAATGTACATAATACATCATCTCAGAAATATATACAGACTCTGAAGTAAAAAAGACTAAAGATAATGGAAGGACCAATAATATAAAGAAAAAGCCAAAACTGAATAGCATCAACTATGAACACGGCCACAATGTGCTAACCGTGTTCAGGAAATTTTTTAAAAATTTCTAATAACTTTAGATACATACATAAAAAAAATCATACATTCAGTTAAAAATAAAAATAAAATCTTTGATAATAGCTAGAAGAATAGCGGAAAGCCCTCGAACATGCAGAATATTAGGACAATTTGTATCCAGAAAAATAAAAGATATGCGAAAACAAGAAAAATTAAATAAAATGCATAACGAACCAGACTAGAAGTTGGAACGTGATTGTTCGATTTCCATTTCCAAGCTGTTATCATTTATACCTATCGGTATATCCAAGATTATAGCACCGGGCATTCTCAAGTGGTCACCTATTTAGGTACAGACTAGGCTCGACGTTGCTTAACTTCGGTGATAGTATGAGAGCCGGTGTTATGATGAGATATAATATTATTAAAACAATTTTCAGTATGTATTGTTTGTATGTATGTATGTATGTATGTATGTATGTATATATCTTCAAATCTGTCTGTTTCATACCTAGCTATCGCGTATATTTGTAAATTTTTTCAATTTCTACTTTCCGTGAGACAGTTGTATTTAAAATGCCGTTTCGTTTTTTGTACTTTGTTTTTGCGAAAGCCGTAGCAGCCAGGACTGTCAATCTTTACACAGTCCAGAGTTAACTTTCTGCAACTTCCCAGATATTGATCTTCCCCAATAAATATTGCAATTTTTAAACAATACATCCATATATATATATATTTTTCTTTAAAAATTTTTCTCTTTTTCTTTTCCATTGGATATATATATATATATATATATATATATATATATATATATATATATATATATGTAAGCAAACGTGACGTGATATTGTGAAACGGAACGCTGATCTTGAAAAATTTCAGTTATCCGTTTTGATTAGTCTTACTCTTCTGTCCATCGTCTTTTCATGTTGAATTAAATATAGTCGAATGTTAATTATGTTTTATGAATATGTCCTGAAGATGGTCTACTAGACCGAAACGTCCGACGTTGACATTATATTAACATTAAAACAGTATAATTGCATATTAGGATTTTTTGTTTGTTTTTCCGTATATTTTTCTTCATATATATATATATATATATATATATATATATATATATATATATATATATATATATATATATATATGTATCTTATTTCGGCAGAATGCGGTCGGTTAAGAAATATTGGAAGAAAATTTATTTAAAGCAGGCCGTCTTTGTCGCTATAGTGCCCCATGTCAAGAGAAAGAATTATTATTATTATTATTATTAATAAATTTATTAACTCACCTGTTGAATATCACTATCTACTCAGAGTTTGATGGAATAAAACCTACTTCACTAATAACCGTATTCGGATTTGCAATTATTTCTACTTTAAAGCCTCTGGAATAATTCGAAACATAACCATTACCGGCTACTCAATAACAGTCAAGATAATACAATATACTTTCTACCGATAATGCATCATTGACTAGCATATATAAATAGTCAAGCTATAAAACACACATGGCTTGAAGATTGTTTTTAATCATGAAACAGGCTGTCGTCGCTTGGTGTTGACCTCAGTGTCCACTTATAAATTTCCATACCATTTATCTCTGATATGTAGTACTTTTACCACATCGTAAATCTATATTTTAGCATATCTATCTATCTATCTATCTATCTATCTATCTATCTATCTATCTATCTATCTAGATATATTTATGATGGAACCCTCCTGTCGTTTTCGACGTATGATTGTCTTTTATTTCAGTTTTTATCTTTATGTTTCATATTAGACAAAAATCTTGCACGGGATTTGCAAAAAAGTACACGCTAGAAACATGCTGAAATGTTGACTGTCATATGGGCTGATGTATTAGCCCGATATATATATATATATGAAAATATGGATTAAATCCGTCAATATGAACAGTTAGGATAACCATTATAATTTTCATCTTTCGTTACCAATACTCTTCTTACCCACTAAATTCTGATATATGTAAGTAACTAAAGAAATTTATTAAATTTGTTCTCCTACTTGTCATATATATATATATATATATATATATATATATATAAGCATATATATAAGCAAGTGTAAATGGATATAAATCCGACAGAATGAAGAAATTTTGAAAAAACAAAAAAAATCCTTAAATGTAGACATTTTCTTTCATTTAACTACATTTAAGGATTTTTGTTTTTTTCAAAATTTTTTTATATATATATATATATATATATATATATATATATATATATATTACTAATAATAAATATATATTTAGTTCATCACCGTTTGCTACAAGACCGAGTATGTTGCATGTCAAAATTGAAAACTCAGTCCGTTCCTGACGATTGCAACACGCATGAAAAGTAACAAGCGATGAGAACCGAAATGATGTACATTTATTAGTAATATAACTGTTCGCACTGTTATTTTAGATGAAGCCTTGTTTTATTATAATGAGCACTCACTGGATACTATTTTATATTTACACACACACACGCACACACACGTAAGATGTTAGAAGGAAGATTCATAGGTCAGATGTGAGTGAAAAGAATATTAGAATAGAACTTACGGTTACATATAACAATTTCAACACTAAAACAGTGAGACCTAGCTGCCAACCTAGTACTACGCTTAAATTCATTTAACATCTTAAAGATAAAATATTTATACGTGTTTTTCTAATGTATAATTCATTAGAGAGACGATTGTTCATCTGATAATCTCATAGAATGTGATATACTGAATTTGATGCAAAACATTATGCGAAAGACAATATGGCGTATCAAATAGGTTGATCAAAACGTTGCAATTTTTATTGAGCCCAATGGCCTGATATCGCTGCTAGATGGGCTTTTACGATAATCCCAGTATTCTCGTTGCCTCGAAGCGGCTTTGATTAACAACACATCAATCTAACACAATTTTCAGGCGTGAATCGAGGTTTAGCATTTTTTAAAATCAATTTATTGGCAGTTAATCGAATTGGAATTTTGATGTTTTATTTTCACATATTGTTCTATTGATAATTCGTTGCTTGTTTATTTTGGCAAATTCTCTCGGGTATTCAAATTAGCGCCACTCGCTTAATTTGCATACCGCTTTGAGTTTGCTGTACATTGTTGTACGGTGACTGGCTGTCGGGTGGAGTGTTATATGCTTTGGGCGTCAGACGCTCTTAGAAATGAAATTTGACTTATTGAATTAAAAATATAAAGAGAAAAAGAAAAAATGTCGAACGAAGTTTGTAAAGGTTAAAGAAATTATCGAAACTGGTTATCAATACCTTTTTATTTGCGGCGCCTAAATAATAGTTTTATAAATGTCATTACGCTTATGTCAAGTGCAAAGCGAAAGAAATGCTTTTTCAGCCGGGGAAAACTGTAATTATCCTGGAGATGTCTGATAGCACAAATATAGTATTTCACTGGTCCATCCGCAAACGATATATTGCAAGATCAGAGCTGAAACCCCAATTCGTACCGGATCTTTTATTTATTTTCTATACAGACGTAGCTATAAAAGCAGCCGGATTTATAAATTAGTCATAAATGATTAACAACAAAGACTAATAATAAAATCCACGAATGATGATAATATGCAATAAGGAAAGTTATATAACGGATAGAAGTGTTATATTCCGTGATAATAGGAAAATACACTTGACAAACACGGTGGATAAATAAGTAAAGGTTTATTGTAAAAACTAGTACAATAAGAATAAAGGTAACATTTATGCACAAGGTCGTTGCAAGTCAATCCAGTAGTGAATGATACTATTGGGAGGTCGTTTGTTATCGCGTAAGACTGAGTCGTACTCAACAGATCTCAGCTAGTAGATTTATCTACCCCACGAGGGTTGCATGTGGCACAAAACCGGTTTAACGTCGGTTCTCCTAGCCCGTAGGCTCGGCTAAAAATATTCCCTTTTTGAACCCGCATAAACGGGTTCAGGGGCAGTCCACCTCCCCGAGCGAGACTCTGCCCTTCGGTGGAGCCTCGTGCGAGTTCCTCTCTGCCCGAAGACAGAGAGTTCAACTGTTTCGCTGGAACAGGTTACAGCTAGTATATTTAGCGTACCCCACCCCCCACGAGGGTTGCATGTGGCACAAGGCCGGTTTAACGTGGGCTCTCCGAGCTCGTAGGCTCGGCCAAAAATATTCCCTTTTTGAACCCGCATAAACGGGTTCAGGGTTAGTCTACCTCCCCGAACGATACTCTGCCCTTCGGTGGAGCCTCGTCCGGGTTCCTCTCTGCTCAGAGGCAGAGAGTTCGACTGTTGAGCTGGAACAGGTTGCTAGACTCTGTAGTCCGTTGACTTACAGATACTTATATGAAGTTACTACCTATAAGTGTCGTCACTCATGGGGGTAACAGGTTATTCTATTACATCAAGAAGATTCGTTTTAAAGTTCCCAACTAGCTATAAATATAAATGACTACTTATATTTACTCTTGTGTTAGTAGCAAATCCACCAGATCTAACAAAGTAAACCTAGCAACTACTCTTGAAAAGACCCCCCAACTCGTGGTTAACTGGAACAAGAAATGGCTTGTAAGTTTTAACGCCTCCAAAACAAAACTGCTTTCATTTAATCACCATAACTATTTCTGTCTGCTATCAGTATAGCGATTGCTAAACACCAGGAAAGAAACACTCTACGTCATTTTGGCCCGATGTTTTCCACTGACATGAAGTGTAACGACTATATCGAATCAATTGTTACGTCTATTGCAAGGAAAGTTAGTTCACTGTGCCGCGCCATAAGTTTTTTCTCGTCAGAATCCATCTTCCACATTTATAAATATACCATTCGTCTGTGCATTGAATACTTTCGACATATTTAGTCTGGTGTTTTTGTTGTACATCTTGAGATTTTTGACAAAATCCAAAGAAAGGTCTGTAATGTAATCAATCCTGACCAGACATCTCGATTTCAGTCACTTTCTCACCGACGTGACGTGTCTTCTCTCTGTTTTTTTTTCTGCAGATATTTTCAGCGACTACATGAATTTAAGCGTGCTACTAGATTACCAACTATGTTCCACCGTTTTGTGGTTGAAATACATAAACGCAACTACAATGTTCAAAAATTTAAATGCAACGTCAACCGTCATCTTCTGTCTTATTGAACCCTGTTCCTTTTTTATCCTTTCCTTAATCCTCTCTATTCTCAGTCTTCTCATTCTCTTTCAGGTTCACTTGATGTAAAACCCTGCGTCTTAGTGGCATTGTCGCCTTGCTTGGGGTGAAACGATTAAAAAAATAACGTAGATCTTAGCAACCTCAGCAGATTGAAATTTTTGGAGTGATTAGTTCCATTTCAGTCTTTCAGTCTACCTAAATTATCAGCAAGTGGGACCCAGTGAGAGATCAGGTATATTTACCTGGCCTCCCCACT